TAATGCAAGAGAACCATGCCAGGATTGAATAAAACTATCTTTCAAAAAATCAAAAAAAAAAGATATTTGAAAAGATGGATAATGTTATTGCAGAAAAAAAAAATAACTAATCAGAATCAATTGAATTTAAAACTGAATCAGGAATTCAGCGATGCGAATGGTATTTTTTAACAGCAAATTCAGCTGCTTTATCATTTAAGCCTTTTTGATATGCGTCCATATAGCAAAATGCTTTTCTTGCATATTGACGAATAGTTGGAAGTAGAACAGAATTAAGAGCTAATGGGACAGTTTTTTGCAGTCCTTTTCATGAATAATCACAATGTGATTGGCTATATTTTTTTGCTGCACCCCAAAAGGTCTCAATGTAATTTAGTTCGCAGTGGAATTTGGGATAGAAAATAATTTGATGCCTAGCCGCAACGATGATTTCTTCCAACTGTTCTTTTTGGGCTAGAAAGTCTGGTTGTTAACTTATTAATTCTCGTGCTTCTTTTAACCTTAATCCTTCTTTTGGCCACAACCCTCTCTCCTTTAGAACTTCTTTTAATCCTTTAGCTTCACCACATAATTTAGGGATATGATAGTCTGATGGAAAGACCATATCTTAGTCATATTTTCTTCCCTTATGAAAGTATGATGTGTTGCATAATTTCTCTTGTTTTTCAGCAGGGCCAAGGTTCATATGGTTAGCAATAAGTGCATCACGTGAAAAAGCAGAATGACTTGTTGCGTTGTCAAATGCAAACAAGGCTTGGCAGCCTGAAAATTAGTGTTACAAATTGGAAGTCGAAAAAATGATTAGTTGATTAGTTAACAACTAATCGATTGAATTTTTTAGATACTAACTAATCAATTAATCGATTAGTTAGTATCTAAAAAATTCAATCGATTAGTTGCCAACTAATTGTTGACTAAAAAAATAAAAATTTGCCAACTTGTAACACTACCTGGAAAGCGTGCTTCAAATATGGAAATGGCATGGTTAGTTACTTGATTAATCAAATCCTCAGCCTTCCACCATCCATCGTTATTTTTGCCAGGGTATGTAATAACACAAGCTTCTCTAGGAAACTTATTTGACGGTTGCATTTCATCAGGAAGCACAAGTCGACTACAAATATCAGTTAAGAACTTGTTAACATGAATTGAACGACCCTCCACCTTTTTTCGTAAAGGTTGTTCACCATAAGAAATCCAAAGACTCCGACTTCCATTATAAGCCGAAAAAATGCATTCATCATGTGTAACAAGAATAAGTGGTTTTATATTGCTGTCTGGCCAAGTCTCTACTTCTATATTATCACCTGAAAATATAGGCATTCTATGCTCAAATTCACTCATTCGTTTCAAAAATATACTCTGATAGGCTACCACATCTTCTCTCTTGTGTCTGTCTACATAAGCATCTTTTTTCACCCTTTCATATATGTATCCAAGCTCTTTTAAATAATTTTTTGTAGTACTAAGAGAGATGGTTGGAGGAGGAGCAAATCCTAGCCCTGGTAAAATGATCTCATTCATTTGTAACATGATCATATGTGGTGTAATATTCCACTTATTTTCTCGAACATACGATTTTATTTGAAGAAGAATATCTTCGTCCCAGAGAAAGCTCCATGTTTTGGCATGGTGTCCTCGGCGAGAGTAGGGAATCTGGTGTGTCATAACATAATCATGTGCCCAGGAACGAATGCATTTAGCATGGTATATCCCTTTTCCCGCAGCATCAGCAATTATTTTACTTGCTTTTATTTTTTGGTGGTTGCTTTTTACAAGCTGGAGATAAA